ACCCCATGGAGGACACCAAAGAGGAGACATTAGATAGCCAAGGACCCAATGGAGGACATTGCATGGGATCCCATCACACCAGGGACACCAAAGAGGGGACATTAAACACCCAGGGACCCCATGGAGGACACCAAAGAGGGGGCATTAGATAGCCAAGGACCCCATGGAAGATATTGTATGGGGTCCCATCACACCAATGACACCAGAAAGGGGACGTTAAACACCCAGGGACCCCATGGAGGACACCAAACAGGACATTACAGACCCAGGAACCCCATGGAGGACACCAAAGAGAGGACATTAGATAGCCAAGGACACAATGGAGGACGTTGCATGGGGTCCCATCAAATCAGGGACACCAAAGAGGGGACATTACAGACCCAGAAACCCCATGGAAGACACTGCGTGGGGTTCTGTGACACCAATGACACCAAAGAGAGGATATCAAACACCCAGGAACCCCATGGATGACATTGCCTGAGGTCCCATCAAACCAGGGACACCAGAAAGGGGACATTAAACACCCAGGGATCCCATGGAGGACGTCGCATGGGGTCCCATCAAATCAGGGACACCAAAGAGGGGACATTACAGACCCAGGAACCCCATCGAGGACATTGCACGGGGTCCCATCACATCAGGGACACCAAAGAGGGGACATTACAGACCCAGGAACCCCATGGAAGACATTGCATGGGGTCCCATCAGACCAGGGACACCAAAGAGGAGACATTACAGACCCAGGAACCCCATGGAGGACACCAAAGAGGGGACATTAAACACCCAGGGACCCCATGGAGGACGTCGCATGGGGTCCCATCACACCAGGGACACCAAAGAGGGGACATTAAACACCCAGGAACCCCATGGAGGACGTCGCATGGGTTCCCACCACACCAGTGACCCTAAGGAAGGCCCATTTCCCCCTAGGTGACCGCAGGGACCCCGGTGGCCCTCGAGGACCCCGTGCCACCCGCCACGGTGTCCCCAAGGCCCCGCGCTCACCTCGTACTCGGCGAACTTGGTGGAGTCCTCCAGCAACATGTCCTCCTTCTTGGGCGGGGTGTCGCGGGTGGCCAAGGCCAGGCAGCGCAGGGTGTCCCTGCCCGTCCCCCACTCCTTGATGACGCCCAAGATCTTCTCCTTGACCGCGGGCGTCAGCGGCACCCGCGTGGTCCCCACGCGCACGTAGTTGCAGCGGTCGATGACGCCCTCGGGGGCGCCCTGCGGGGGACACCGAGGGACGTGGTGGGGACCCGTGGGGACCCAAAGGGACAGAGAGGAACCAAGGAGGAGCTCATGGGGCCTCCATGGGCCAAGGGGACCCAAAGGGATGGAGAGGAACCAAGGAGGACCTCATGGGGCCTCCATGGGCCAAGGGGAACCCAAAGGGACAGAAAGGAACCCAAAGGGACACAGAGGAACCGAGGAAGACCTCATGGGGCCTCCATGGGCCAAGGGGACCCAATGGGATGGACAGGAACCCAAAGGGACACAGGAGAACCAAGTAGGACCTCATGGATCCTCCATGGGCCAAAGGGACCCAAAGGGACAGAAAGGAACCCAAAGGGACACAGAAGAACCTAAAGGGATGGAGAGGAACCAAGTAGGACCTCATGGGTCCTCCATGGGCCAAGGGGACCCCAAAGGGACACAGAGGAACCGAGGAGGACCTCATGGGGCCTCCATGGGCCAAGGGGACCCCAAAGGGACACAGAGGAACCGAGGAGGACCTCATGGGGCCTCCATGGGCCAAGGGGACCCCAAAGGGACACAGAGGAACCGAGGAGGACCTCATGGGGCCTCCATGGGCCAAGGGGACCCCAAAGGGACACAGAGGAACCCAAAGGGACACAGAAGAACCTAAAGGGATGGAGAGGAACCAAGAAGGACCTCATGGGTCCTCCATGGACCAAGGCGACACCAAGGAGATGGGGGGGACCTGAGGATGCTCCCCGTCGAGGACGAGGGCAGCAAATGGGGGACAATGGTGACCCGAGGGGACGCGGTGACGAGGGACCGACCTTGACGAACATCTTGTTGCCCACGGCCGCCCGCGACGCCTTGGCCGGGGAGCAGTAGACGGACATGGACTTCCGGTCACGGGAGAACTCCAGGGTGACCTCCTTCTTCATGAGCTGCTTGATGACCTGGGGATAAGGGGACATCAGAAGGGACATGGGGACATTGGGGTCTATGGGGACAACCTCCTTCTTCAGGAGCTGCTTGACGACCTGGGGACACGGGGACAAGGGCACATCAGAGGGGACATTGGGGTCTATGGAGACAACCTCCTTCTTCATGAGCTGCTTGATGACCTGGGGATAAGGGGACATCAGAGGGGACATGGGGACATTGGGGTCTATGGGGACAACCTCCTTCTTCATGAGCTGCTTGATGACCTGGGGACACGGGGACATGGGGACATCAGAGGGGACATGGGGACATTGGGGTCAATGGGGAC